GCGAGATCGTGACCTGGCTGAAGTCGGACGCTTAACCGACTGCGCCACCCAGGCGCCCCAAGATCATTTCTCTTTACTCTCAGTGCCTGTTGCCATTCTCAGTCAGCATGGATCTTCATTCCAACCTTGCAGGACAAAAGAGACTTGCTCCAGGAAAATTTTTCTCGGGGCTCTTCTCCTACCTGGAGCCACCCCTTTGTATTACTCTGTAGGCAATTTGGGTTCAGAGGCTATAATATAAGAAGGTAAAGAATATATAGTTTAGGATCTGCCGGGATGGATATTGTTTCATGAAAAGTTGGTTGATTGCTTATAAGCTTTCCCCCTGTTTTTTTGCTTATTTTCTTCTAGGCATGATGGTAATGTTTACTAAAATTAAAACTATAGCTAGGAAGAAGAGTTGGCCTTAGATTAAATCCTGGTGTAGGAGTATTTTAGTGCTGAATGACATCAGCAAAGATAAGCAGTAGTTGCTTGAGAGGCAACAAACTGTGACCTAGTTTCTTTATATGTAAAGTAAGCCATTAGGATAAAATCATCTCAAAAGCTAAAATGCCCAAGATTCTTTACAAGGAAGAAGAACTGAAGAGGAAACAAATCGAAAGAAAATAAAATAGAAAATGAAAATGATGTTTTCCACCATTCCTTAAAATTATCTCATCCTTTTGGTTTTCATGAAACCATTTTTTCACTTTTTTCTCTTGCCTTCCTGGCCTCTTCTCTGATCTCTTTGATCAACTCTCTCACTATCTTTTCTTCTCATCTTGGTGTTTCCCAAGATTCTGACTTCAGTCTTCTCTCTTGGCGTATTCTCCTTATCATCCTTGTTTAGATAAAAACAAAACACTTTTTTTGTGTGTGTGGTGATTACCAAGTAGACATCAATCTACTTACTTCATTTGGGCCCAGGAGGTAAAGAATCCTTCATGATCTACTGCTGAATCATCCATTTTCTCTGTTTTTCAAGGGTCGTAAGAGTGAGGCTGAAAAGTTCTTCTTGAAGGCTATTGAGCTGGATCCCACCAAAGGAAACTGTTACATGCATTATGGTGAGTGGTTGATAGTTTTTTTCCATGTCCTCCCCACCTCCCCATTTACTGTTAATGTTGATATGAGATTTAGGATTTGCTGGCAAAGAACATTTTGAGAGGGCATAGACTTCATTGCTACAGATTGAGCCTCATGGTGTAGTCCTAGTTTTTCATTCAAAGCAGGCATGTTATAGAGGGCTATGCATTATATTTTCCATTAATAATTTTCGTAGGACTTCAATGGGGAGAGGCATTTTCACACTTGTTTCTTTCAAGTCCAGTGTGAAGGGTAAATAAGGTCTCATCAGGAAAGCATCTTGCTCCTTGCCTGATGCATGGTATATAACCAGAATATTAGCTCTCTTATATTTGTGAATGATAATATATTGTTCCTTGAGTATATCATTTTGAAGTTTCAGAGGTTTAAATTTTGACCGCAAAATCTTGCTTTCTTGCTTTCTGGAAAATATAAGTGTACCCCAGCCTCTAGATACCTGAGATTTGGGTCAAGGATAAACCATAAATGGTATAAAAGATGTCTTTCTCATGCAGTTCAGTCTTTGCCTTAATCAGTACAGAATGGACTTATATAACAACTCTGTCACACTCCACTCTATCATTAGGAGTGAGTCATGTGTTAAGTGAGGTGAAGTATATAGCTGGTTTGGTGTTGGGTAAGATGTACTTATTTCTACCAGATTTGTAGTTGGAATGGCTTTCAAGGAACCGAAAGACATTCACTTTTGCTGATCCTTTGGGGGAGAAAATGATTTTTTAACCACTCTTGCCTTTGATGTGTTATTATCAAGTAGTAAGCTGAAAGATGGGTGGTGATTAAATCTTGAGGAAAAAAACCCTAATATCCTTCTTCTTAAAGTTAATTCTTTCTTCCATTTTACAAATAGTAAAAATAAATCAGTGACAGGCTCTGAGTGTAGAAAAATGGAAATAATAGAATGGAGGATACACTTAACCAACCACAAGTCCATTTGCTTATTTACATTTTGCATATATGTTTATAAACTTAGGGTCGTGATGCTTTATCTTACCAGCATAACACAGCATGTAATTCCACATGGGTTATTGCATAACCACTCCTGATTTTGTTTCACGATGCAGTGTTATTGCCATGTTAAGTTGGCAGTCAACTAATTTAAGTTTGCTGCAGAATATATTTTATTTTTACAGGATTTCTCATATGAAGTATTTTAAATTAGACTTTCTCATGCATACTATTTTGGGTACCCCTACTGTGCATTAAAGTAGGTCCATGATTATTTTCCCTGAGTGCTAAAGAATCTCTTCTTATTGCAACTTTTGAAGCAGAATTTTTTCCCCTATCTTGCTCTCTGCATTTCCTTTACCTCAAACTAATTCTACTTAACCTTCTAATCTTATTTCTATAATTTTGTTACATGCTTTAGATATTTCACAATCAATTCCTTTAAATTTCGTATTGGCTTCATTTGAATTGCAAGGGGAAAAAATCATTGTTGTGTTCATTTTAAGAGTTTGCCCCCTTATTATTCTGACTTGTCTGTCTTTACCTATTTCTCTTTTTAATTTATTATTGTTTTTATATTACATCCTCCTGAATTTTTTTTTTGTTTGTTTGTTTGTTTGTTTTCAGTATTGGTAGTAGGGAGTAGTTCTCCTATGAGAAGATTTTGGATTTAGTTTTAACAGAGAATATAACAAATTCCTTATTGTCTAGGTTACATGAAAGACAGTGATGATAACACACATCTGTAAATTATGTATTAAAACTGATTCTTCTTAGCACTCCTGGATTATTTAAAAAATTTTAGCACACATACATTGTTAGAAGTACATGTATTTTCTTTTTTTTTTTTTAATTTTTTTTTTTTTTAAACATTTATTTATTTTTGGGACAGAGAGAGACAGAGCATGAACGGGGGAGGGGCAGAGAGAGAGGGAGACACAGAATCGGAAACAGGCTCCAGGCTCTGAGCCATCAGCCCAGATCCCGACGCGGGGCTCGAACTCACGGACCGCGAGATCGTGACCTGGCTGAAGTCGGATGCTTAACCGACTGCGCCACCCAGGCGCCCCAGTACATGTATTTTCTATGGGAGGAATGACTGCATAATTCAATATAATTTGATGAAATCGTTTCAGTACTTTTCCCCACGCTGGAATGGGAAATAAAAAGGACTCAGGCTGAAGCATCAAAAAGTGGTAGTTAAGGCAAAATAATCTACAAACGGACAGAAAGCCCATACGGAGTGCTTGATACGCCTGTCTCACTGTGCTCATGTTATAAAAAATGTACATTTCATTTGAGGGAAATCTACTTCAAATGACTGAATTTTAAAACTGGAAAGTTGTTTTCAATGGTTTAATATAATCTGTTTAACATAATCTGTTGTACAAATAAATTGACTGAAGCCTAGAGAAATGGCGTTGGCTTGCCTAAGTTAGTTGAAGTAAACTAACTTTTGGGTCCCTTGATAACCACCAGTGCCTTTTCTTCTCTTATGTATGCTCCATTTCTTTCACAACATTGGGAGACATACAACCAAATGTGCGGGTGGGTAAGTAGGCCGATATTTTTGATTAGTAGGTCATTCTATGCAATTTTAGAGTGCCAAATTCATATAAATCATAACAGCTTAAAATGTTTAGGGAAGGATTTTTATTAATTTTAATGTGTATAAGATGTGTCTAATGGTAGAAGGTACTGTTTCTTTTTCAGAAAGTGAGTAGGGCTATGTAAGAAATAAATAGGGTGATGTCATTTTTAGAAGGTGATGTGGTGGGAAGTGGGGTGCTTCTTGAAAGCAAGCAGGCAAGTAAAACATTTGTGAAGAGGTGATATTTGAAATCTATAAGTGTGAACCAGCTCTTTGAAGAGCCAGGTAACAGCATTTCAGACAAGTAACAAAGTTCAAAGTTGTAGGCAAGAGCAAGCTTGTGTTCACAGTAGAGAAGGAAGGCTAATGTGACTGGATTATATTAAACCAGATGGGAAGGTGGGAGGACAAGGCTTAGCTCTGTCGACCAAGCTAAGGAGTTTGCATTTTCTTCCTAGGGAAAAAGAAGGGACTCTGAGGAGAAGACAGGATTAGGGGAAGGTGGAGGGGAACTCTGTTGCTATGTTTTAGGCAAAGAAGATAGTTTGGACTTGGCAGTAGTTGTGGGAATGTTAATATTTATATTGAAATTATACACTTACCTTCTTTAGAAAATTCTAAGATAATTGAGAATGGAGAGTCCCTGTTTTCCGTTTTTGCGCCATCAATATCTAGCATATTGCCCTACTCACAGTAATGTGTAATAAATGTCAGTTGAGCTCAGTTAGAGGTAGTCTCCATTTTAATTGGATATGGATTCCAAAACGGACTGAAAGTTTGTTCCATTAGCATTTTTATTACTTCTTGTACTGAGAACGTACATACTATGATTTCTCTGTCAACTTACCGGTTATAGATATTCTTAGGATATTTATACCCACAGATTGAATGAATAATACTTTCTCAGCTTAAAAATAAATGTTTAAATGAAATATACATGTTATTTTGTGTCTTTTTATAAAATGCTTTTGCAAACGCCCATGAAAATGCCAGCATGGGTGAATTTTGTTCTATTGGAGATTCACTCTCCTGGGTGATTATGTGCTTGTGATTTGCTTGTTAATGATACAAGTGACTTTGAAAATACTATGCAGTTGGGACTAGACATAGTGAAGTACAGGAATTTATATTGGCTGCAATGACCATTAGAAGGCAGTGTTTAAAAGTATTCTCAGTTATTTGCATTTTTAATCCACTAGTTTTGTGTTTTGGGGAAGGGATTGCATTGCAGACTGTCTTTTCTGCTTCAGGTTGGCTTGCCACAAAGAAAGCTAGACAGGTTTGTAAAACTGGTTCAGTAAGTTTGTCAAATGTAGGACCCTCTGAGGGGCACCTGAGTCATTTAGTCGATTAAGCATTTGACTTTTGATTTCAGCTCAGGTTATGATCTCTCAAACCATGAGATCAAGCCCTGTGATGGGCTCTGTGCTGACAGCGTGGAGCCTGCTTGTGATTCTCTCTCTGCCTCTCTGTCTGCTCCTCCCCCTACTCGTGGGTGTGTATGTGAATGCCTGTGCATGTGCACACGTGCTCTCCAAATAAATAAAAATAAGTTTAAAAAAAATGTAGAGCTCTCTGGTCCCTGTAGTCTCTGGGATGAAGATTCCTTATCTGTAAAGTATGAACGAGTTGATGTGGGCTTTCAAACTGTGTTTCAGTGCTAGGATTTCATGTTGTTGCTAATATATACTCAATTTCTCACTAATCGTTCATCAAAACTTTTAAGGAATGTATAGAAAATATGTTTCAAACTATGGTGTCAGTAATAGTATAATGTTATATTCATAATGTCATCAAGCTTACAGTGTACCCCATGTCCATATGAAACAAATCATCTGAAGGCTTTATGGAAGGTAGTTTATAAATGTCAAAGATGAGGATTTGGTGGCTTACTGTCTCATGTGGGCCTATAATTCATGGAATTCTCCATGGATTTCCCTATGGCTCCAATGGAAAGTTTCTGCCAAAAAAGTAAAAGTTAAGACAAGAGGTCTCTGTCTCTGTCTCTGTCTCTGTCTTTTTTTTACAAATTACTAGAAAAACCATTTTGTCAAAAAGATATATTGTAATTTTTCTCTATGTGCTTAGTAGTAAATTTTATGTAGATCGAAACAAATTAAATCAAAATGCATTTATTATGAGATACCTACTATGTATACATCTGGGTAGATGGAAATTCATTAAATATTAAGGACAAAAGCATAAAAAGTGAAAAGGAAGCAAAGTATGATAAATGCTATTAGAAGTACTCTTTTATGTTGACCTTGGATGGTTTCTTCTTTTCTCAGCAACCTCTTGACCGTACACCTTTCCCCTCATTTTCTTCATTTTGGTTACTCTCTCTGGGTGAAGATGTTCATTCCAAGAGTTCAGCTATGTAGTGATGATTCCTGAACCTCTTAATCCAACTTAGTATTTACTAAG